CCTCTGCTCAGCCCTGGGGAGGCCTCCCCTGGAGTACTGTGTCCAGTTCTGGGCTCCCCAGTACAAGAGAGACATGGCACTACCGGAGAGAGTCCAGCAGAGGGCTACAAAGACGACAAGGGGACTGGAGCATCTCTCCTATGAAGAAAGGCTGAGAGAGCTGGGTCTGTTTAGCCGGGAGAAGAGAAAACTAAGAGGGGATCTCATCAATGTGTACAAGTATTTGAAGGGAGGTTGTCAAGAGGATGGGGCCAGACTTCTCCATGGTGCCCAGCGACAGGACAAGAGGCAATGGGCACAAACCGAAACACAGGAAGTTCCACCTGAACCTGAGAAAAAACTTCTTTCCTGTGAGGGTGACAGAGCACTAGAACAGGTTGCCCAGAGAGGTTGTGGAGTCTCCTTTCCTGGAGATATTCAAAACCCACCTGGATGTGATCCTGTGCAATGTACTCTAGATGACCTTGCTTGAGCAGGGAGTTGGACTCTATGATCTCCAGAGGTCCCTTCCAACCTTGGCCATTCTGTGATTCTGTGATTAAATTTGTCTTAATCCACACTACATGCAGCTGATATTCTGCAGGAGTCAACCTTACAAATGCTGCTCACTTAGGCTGCCTGTTGGCACCTCTCCTGAGGCAGGAGTCAAAGGGACAGATTTGCAAGGACAAACTTGCCATTCCAGGATTGCTTATATAAAAATTTTGAAATGCTGGGTTCCAATGGTTTGAATGTCACTCTTTGATCAGCTAAAAAACCCACAAATATTTGGTCTTAAAACAAAATAAATATTTACAACTATGTAAACATAGTTATCCTGTGTTAATTGGCAATTACTTAACTCAAATGAAATATGACCACAAACTCTGTCTTAGCAAACCCTGAGAAAGATTATGATTTAAAATAAGAAAAAAAGGGAATAAGCACTGCTGCATAATGTGGAAGGGATCAAAATGAAAAGTATTTTCATTTAACAACAACAATAATAATCACAAAACCAATATTTGTTCTTAACAGAGACTGAGTAATAAACACCAAGTTAAGAATCCCATGCAGTCTTGATCCATATCAAAACAAACCTGCTGCTCTCTCTCTCTCTCTCTCTCTCTCCCCAACAGAAGTCCTCTTTCAAAAGCCATTACCCTTCAAACAAGTCTGATGACTGACAGGGGTTACAAAGGCAAGATATGCATTTGAGAGAATTATACTTTAGGAAGACTCGAGAATTATACTTTAGGGGAGTTTCAAAGCAATCACAGGAAAAAAAAAAAAAAATATATATATATGCAGTATTACAGCATAATATTGTGATGGCTCTATCACAACTCCAGGGCTCTCAAACAGAACTAATAAGACGCTTCTATAATCTTTGGTATCAAACATAAATGAAAAAAGGAAAACAGTTGCTACTTTAATCACAGTTGCATACTTACAGTGAAATAAGGCAGTTCTGCACTCATTCAACCCATTTTGCTGCACACCTCCATCAATCTGTCATTGGGTCTACCTCTGGCTATTGAGTAGGTTCCTCTCTTGCTTAAAAGCATGGCATGCCTGTAAATTACCAGAAAACAGAATTATGGTGACATTTATTATGTAACTCAGTTCTTCCCAAACTGTGCATTCCTCATCTGAAACATGCACTGCTTTTTTTTATTCTTAGCTCTCCCTCCCAGCTTTGAATGGCTGTGATGATAGCTCCCCATTCTAGTTTCCTTGTTATGTGACAAATTCCAAAACTTAAGAAACTGAAGAATGTATCAGTGAGGGAAAAGCAATATATTAAGAATTTCATAACCAAATGTTTCCCAAATACCTATAACTCTTCCCCACTCTGTCAAGCTACATGATTTCCAGGTTAATATGGGCGTGCTTATAGGTTTCAGTCACTTCTTTCACAGTGCTTTATGAACGGTAAACTCTGCTCATTCTTCACTTTGGTTTCCTCAAGATTTAATACACAGCACGAGAGACAAACCCAAATACAATCATTCTTCCCTCTCTGTATTAGCAAATTCAGCTTCAGCTCTCCCAGCAAACACGGTCAGCAACAAGCTTCAGAAAATACTGTTTAGGCAACTTGCCATAGTGACATTTAGACGTTCTGCTACCTTTCCCCCTGCTTTGCTTTATGCCACCTGTTATAATAGCTAATATTTACAACAATGAAATATTAAATGCAAGGAAAATCATCTCAAAGACAGATATTTTCATGGGGGAATTGATATGAAAATCTCATTAAAGCCTATGCTGCGTTACTAAGTTAATGAAAAACACTGAGGATCAGATAGTGTTACTGCTGCGCCTCCGCTAGTCTCCACTCTTCTACTAAGGAGCTTCCAACTATGAAAGCCTGTGTGTCCTATTCTTGTAATACATATAGTTCCTACTGACGTTGAACACTTTTCTGGAAAAGTGTTCTCTTCAAACACACACACCTCATCCAAACTTCTGGTGTACATACAGTAGGCACTCCCTGTCTAGGCAAAAATCCTGGTTCATAAAGGAATCAAAATGACAACTTACAAATGAGTTCTTAAACACTAAAGAATTACATCCAAAATGAAAGATGCACTGTGCACTCACACCCCATCTCAACTGCATCAGTCAGATTTGTTCCCTGGCAGTGAACCTTTTCGCGCGCGCGTGTGTGCGTACGTACGTTGACAAGGCTAAGGACTGATCTTATTACTGTTTTTAACTGCTCCATGGGAAACTACAGAGAAATTGGACCAGAATTTTCTCCAAGGTGAGTAGTGAAAGGACAAGAGGTAACAGACACTAGTTGCAACAAGGGAAATTCCAATAAGGAAAAAATATTCACAATGAGAATGCTTAAGCACTGGAACAAGCTGCCCAGAGATGGGCATCAAAACTCAGACGATAGCCAAAACTCAACAAGACCCCAAGCAACCTCCTCTAAATTGACCCTGCTTTCAGCAGGGATTTGGACCAGATGACCTTCAGAGGTCCCTTCCAACCTACACTATTCTATGTGTAGGGCAATTCCTTATCCTAATGGATGGGTATTTTCCTCATATGCCATTATTTCAGTCCAGAGCTAGATTCTGTGAATAAGCATACTGTTCCATATCCCACCCTCAGTGTCTTAACTGTCTTGGATTCATAACACTTATATTTTGCATAGCTGTGACATCACTAATATATCTAACCTGCTATTCACAGCACTTAAGCCTTAAGAGATCATTAAAATCACTTAGTCTGACCTTCTGTTTTTTAATGATATGACAAGTCTTTAAATTTCACCCAGTTGTTTCTGTTTTAAGCTCAATAACTTATTTCTAAATGAACAAAGGAAGTTTTTCCAGAAAGAGAAAGGAGAGATCAGAAATCTCCTGTTTTCTTGCTCCAGAAATGCATCCCAATTTTTTACTCAAAGCTTTCCGGCTTTGGTTTCATTTGTTTGTATTCTGAACACAACAGCAGCTGTATCAGGAGGTGCCAGTGTGCAGCCCAGCTTCCGAACTCCACTGATCAGCTCATAGGTAGAATGTAAAGAAAAGCAGAAGAATAGGGAAACCATGTAGCGTTACTTCCCCAAAATATTCTTCCAATCTATCATGATTTGCAGTTCAGAGACTTCCTCAGTCAATTATGAAATCTTTGCACTTAATAGCCCCTAAAGAACTTCTCTCTTATTAATTTACCCAGTTGCTTCTCTTATGAATATAACCAGTTGCTTCTCAAATCTACATAATCTTGGAGCATCTGCAACATCCTCTGATAAGGAGTTCTGCAGCTTAACTTGTGAGAAAATTAATTTTATTTGGTGAAAAATCTCTGCTCTTCAAGCTGGCTTTTCTTAGCGTTATGTTATGTCCTCTGGTTCTTACATTAAAAAAGACAATTAAAAAACGATCTTTCCTATTCACCTCGTCAGTGTACACTGTTATGAAGATACGATACCTTCTCTTTGCCCGCTCTTGCAGGCCATGGGCTCTCAGCTGAGTTGCTCCTCATAAGGCAGCCATGCCTTTCTCTTCACCCCCATCGCCCTTTTTCTGCAGCTTTTCTAATTTTGTAGTACCCTTTGGAAGACGTGTATAGAAGGACTGGATACACTGTTCAAGATGTGCACCCACTATATAGTGTTCTCTAGTCTTTTCCAAAAAAAATTCCTAGCACTCTAGGACTTCCTTTTCTGATTGCTCTGAGCTGCTGTGCTCACTGAATTCTCTTTGGTCTATCCTCTTGAAGAGGCTGATTGCAGCAAACTTTTCTCTCCTGTGTTCGAGACACCCCTTGATCCTCCATTTAATCAGCTAAGCTGACCTTGCTCTTTAAGTATCTCACCACCAATTCTTAAAGTGTTCTTACTGCTTGTTTTGGAATGCTCAAAACTTTTACCTTTTTAAAAGGTACCTTTGTCCTTTTTAAAACAAGGGCATCAAAATTGTGTATTATAACCCAGTATCATTTTCACTAATGCTTTACAGAACTTTAAATTTCTTTCCTAATTCTATTCACTACTTCCTTGTCTATGTATTCAAAGAGAGCATTACTCCTTTTTTTGCTGTAACATTGACCTGAGAGTTCATGTTGAGTTGCTTACTTATTTTGATTACCTAAATCATTTGCAGAATGACTGCTCTCCAAGATGCATTCTCCTGTACTTAAAACGAAGCCGGTAGTCTCTCCCTCAATATATACATTTCTATTTGGCCTTAACACAAACTTTATTCAAACGCTTAGCATATCCAGCAGTCAACTTGTTAAAATGGTGAATGGAAAAGAGTGAAGTAATGTCATTTACAAATGTTAACAATGACATTCACATAACTACTGCCAGACCACTGATGAAGTTGTACATTATTAGACCTCTTGCAACTGTACGTGTATTATCAAACTGATTCCATAACATTAGATAATAATTCTTCCATCAGCTACTCTCAGAGATGTATCTGATAGACAGCAATTAATCCATGTATTGTATTTGTTACTGAAAGGATTATTTTTAAAGTTGGAGTGTCACAGTACTAGAGTGTTTGATTAAGCATATTTACAACTACTGAGTTACCTTGGTCAGTTCAACCTACAAATGCATCCAAGAACAAAGTTTCCTTCAGTTGATGATACTAACTTTTCATAGAGGCAGGTTGCCTGACTACACGAATACTTCTGTTTTTCAATATTTTATGAAATAAAACCCATCTTATTTTCCCCATTGTTTTATTCAATATGGATAACCAATGTTAAGGAATAAGCTTGAGGGAGTACTTGTCTTTTGTTAGCACTGGTGCTCTTCCAGTCTTCAAAATCAGAACTAGCAGCCAGAAAGCTTTACTTCCATTCAGCAATTTTAGAAGAAATCTATAATCTGGTCCTCAGGCTTTAAAACCATTTATCTTCAAGAGATACTGTCTGATATTTATTAATCAGAAAATATTTCATAATTCTCACCTGATACAACATCCTGTTTCTTACCAAAAGGAAACAGGAATGGCTGTTTATTATATAGACATTAATGATTTTCCCAAATTCACCTGGCAATAGACCAACACAATTGCTAGGCAGGCTCCCTACTTCCTCCTATAGCCCTCCAGCAGAGCTACCGATTCTTCCTTGCTATCTTTAGCTCTAATAGCTGCAATTGGCTTCAAAATTTTTAGTTTACTTATTGATCTATGGTACTTCATGAATTTCAATTTATACAGATTGCTATCTATTTCTTTTTTTGCTTCTAAATGTTGCTTCTATTTTGCAACTAAGACAGATTGAGCTGCTGATGAAAAGTGTTATTTTTCTCAAATATCATAGGAACTAAAGACATGATTTTTAAAGTGGATGGTCTTCCATTGAACTTTTTTTCCCCGCTCCATATGGGCTAATCTCCCAAGTTTGACAAAAAACAGCAACAATTTTGGGAACATAACTTTAGACAGAGAAACGTTGGTGAAAATTGAAGTGCAATAAGACAATCGTGTTTTCTGGCTGTTGAAAGAGAGGAGTTTTTGCTGCCTATGATAAATGTGGTTAAAAGGCATTTACAAGATTTGTATACAAGATGAACGAAAAGATCTTCCATTTTCTAAAGCTCTCATTGGCAACGCTTCTAAATACACTATCATTTCAACACACAGTTTCATTTCAAAGATCTTGCGCTATGAGCGTGGAAATAAAGTTTAAAGGGAACAAAAGGAAAGCTCATAACACCTGTCATCTTAATTTCCAAATGTCTCCTCTTTACTAAACTAAAGACAAAATAAATCTAAAATACATACATAAAATAAATAAATACAAAAGAATTAGTTAAAATAGTTTTATAGCATTTTTCTTCTAAACTAGTGCTATTATACAGGATGGAAAACATCCAGAGAATGAACACAAAAGTGCACAGTTCCGTCCTTAGCATGGATTCTTTCTATCCTTCTAATACATGAAGAACAACTACTATCCACAACATGACTGTTCAACTTGGAAAAAAAAAATCTGAGTTAAAAAATATCTGCTGGTCCTAACAGGCACAAATTGCTACATTCAAGCATAAGCTCGATAAAGCAAGGACTATCATCCTCCATATTAAGGGGGCACAAATCTGATTTTAAGTTACTCC